TTGGTTTTAGGTTTTTTGTAGGGGTTGAGACAGGGTTTCTCTATGTAATGGCTCTGGCTGTCCTGGAACTGGCTTTTGTAGACCAGGTTGACCTGGAACTCAGAGATCTGCCTGCCTCTGCCTCCCAAGTGCTGGGATTAAAGACGTGTGCTACCACTGCCCAGCTATTTTTGTTTGTTTGTTTGTTTGTTTGTTTTTAATAAAAATGGAGTTGGGTGGTGTGGTAGTTTGAATGTAAGTGGCCCCATCAGCTCATATGGAGTGATACTGTTAGGAGGTATAACCTTGTTGGAGTAGATGTGCCTTGTTCTAGGAAGTGTGTCACTGTGGGGGTGGGCTTTGAGATTTCATATATGCTCAAGCCATACCCAGTGTCTCAGATCACTTCCCATTGCCTTTAGATCAAAGATGTAGAACCTTCAGCTCCTTCTCCAGTGCCATATCTGACACACATTGCCTTGTCCCTCCATGATGACAAGGACTAAACCTCTGAACTGTAAGCCACCCCAATTAAATGTTTTCCTTTATAAGAGTTGCTGTGGTCATGGTGTCTCTTCATGGAAAGAGAAACCCTGACTAAGACAGATGGATAGAGATTTGGAAAGGATCTGAGGAGTTAAGGAAGGGAAAAACATGATCAAATATAGTGTGTATGTCTTGGGTTTCTATTGCTGTGAAGAGACTCTTATAAAGAAAAACACTTAATTGGGGCTGGCTTATAGTTTGAGAGATTTAGTTCATTGTCATGGCAGGAAGCATGGCAGCATGCAGGCAGACATGGTGCTAGAGAAGGAGCTAAGAGCTCTACATCTCGATAACTGGAACAACAGGAAGTAAACTGATACACTAGGCATGACTTGAGCATATATGACCCCAAAGCCTGCCCCATAGTGACATACTTCCTCCAACAAGACCACACCTACTCAAACAAGGTCACATCTCCTAACAATGCCTATTGGCTAAGCATTCAAACACATGAGTCTATGGGGGTCATACCTATTCAAACTACCAAAGTGTGAAAATATTTTTTTTAAAAAGGTAAATCTTTTTTTAAAAGATTTATTTATTTATTATGAATGCAACACCCTGCCTCTATGTATGTCTGCACCCCAGAAGAGGGCACGAGATCTCATTATGGATGGTTGTGAGCCACCATGTGGTTTCTGGGAATCGAACTCAGGGCCTCTGGAAGAGCAGTTGGTGCTCTTAACCTCTGAGCCATCTCTCCAGCCCAAAAAGGTAAATCTTGCACAGGGCTCTGTTATATTCCTGAGAGATCCAGGATGGAGCCTGAGGTTTGGGCCACAGGTAGCCATGAGCCCGTCCCTCAGGCATGGCCTGTGCCCTGACTCCTACACTAGAGGAGCACGCCCAGTTTTCAGGTGTCTTCCTTTCAGGTCCTCTTTGTTCCCCGTTCCTACATGCATTGCACCCCAGCTCCTACCTTGAAAACATATCCTTGAGCAGTTGCCTTCTCTGCCCACACAGTTACTGTACTGGCCTTCTGATGAGTATCTGCATTTCATTCAACTCTGAGTGTAGCTGTGTTTTAATCGCTGAGCGGAACATGCGTAGGGGTGTCCATTCCTTCCTAGCCCCATGATAATGTCTCATTCCCGGTTTGTGGGACGGGGTGGAATCTTAGAGCCACGCAAACGTCATTTAGGCTATTGTACCCTGTTGTGGGATATTTGGTCACACTGTGAACCCAGAGATTGCGTTGTTTACCGGAAACATCTGTTTCTGCTTGTGGTGTGGCTCAGTCCTAGCACACACCTTTAATCCAAGACTTTCTGCTGGGAAATTGTAAAGAGGGTTAAAGAAAGTCAGCCAGTTAAGAGGTGGGGCAAACAGCCAGTTGACAGGAAAAAACCATAAAGAGTAAGTAGGGAGTCAGGCGGCTGGATAGAGAAATGCACAGGAAGTGGAAGGGAGGGGCTTGCAGTTCGAGGAGTTTGCTTTGAGACAGTGTAGCGGAGAGCTTTCTGGAACATTGGCCGAGGAGGACGGTCAGCCAGGTGCTCGCCCTGCCTCCCTGAGCTAGCAGGATTTCATCCCAGTATCTGGCTTGCATCGTGGGCTGTGAGATGCCAGGCAGCTGCTCTCGCTGACTTTGCAGCCACTGGAGCTGCCACCGAAGCTGGGTTTCCCTCCATACCCTCGGGTCCTCCGTGTGAGTCTCAGGGTTTCCCATTACAGCCTCTCCACAGCAGCCTCCAGCTGCCGCCCATCCCTGGTCCCAAATGCCACAGAAGGCTAGGTCCCAAATGCCGCCTGAGTCAGCCGCCCCCCCGCCAGCTCCGTCATTCAGGCAGCTCCGTGCCCTCACTTTCTGCCATGCAGGCTTCTGCGCATGCCCCTGTGTTCACGTCTCAGGCAGCTGTCTGTCTGTCCTGTGACGGCGGGCTCCCCTGAATCCCCTCCTTGGGCCATTGCCATGCCGGGTTGGCTGCCTTGACACCGCCCAGGCTTTTACTGCTGCTGCCACCACCACCTACTCTCAGCCACACGAGAGCAGCTGCTCCTGCCCTTGGCCAGGCCATGTGCCACCTGAGCTTTCTGCCCAGCCGTGTGGTACAGCAACAGCCTGCCTCACACTTCACTGTCATTGTCAGCAGAGCTGGTGACACACCTGAGAATTCTTAAAGGGGGAATTCACTAAAAAAAGCAAAAACAAAACCTTTCCCCCCACGTTAACAAAAAGGGAACAATATTACAGTGCAGTGAGTTAGGTCTCTGTATGGTTTCACAATAAATGCTTTGAAACTGAAAACAAAAATCAACTTAGCTGTGATTGACATAATGTTGATTATAATCATCAGCTTTGTAAATCATGCTTCATTCTTTAAAATGTGGTTTGATACTGGTGCCGGATACCAAAAAAAATTGACTGATAAGATGCAATCTTCATAAAGACCTACTAATGACACTAAGAAAAATATTCGCACACAGACAGGGGAGTTTAGAGAAGAACTTGCCACACCATTGCATTATGAAACCAAAGAGAAATAAATGGTCCAAAGCTATGAGAAACCCAACCTTCATTTACCCGGTTTAAGAATGACCACCAGATGGCAGGCACCCCCAAGGCTATTCGGAAGTTAACTGGAATCTTATAGAAATGTTAGATTTGAAGAGATTTAAGGAAGCAGTGGTATCATAACTTGTTAAACTCATGAACAACTTGGAACGGAGAACTCATGGTTGGAAGGCAGACAATTCCTGACTGTGGGGGTTCCTTTCGTAATTTTCCAGGGCCACAGCAGTATAACATACCCTGCATCCAGTAGAAACAACTCGGTGAGACCAGAAATACGGAAGGGTAAAAAGAGTTTACATGGGAAGTACATCCACAACAGAGTTAGATCTTGGATTCTACGTAGATTTTCTTCTAGAGTTTATGCTCTTGACCGCTAGGCTCTACTGGCATTTATAGGACCTAGCCCAGCATTTGCCAGTCCCTCTACATGACCTGATGAGAACCTCAAAGGGAGGGAGAAGATTGTCTGTCACATGATGTCTAATCTGCATATCCACAGGGATTGATCTCCCAGCTGCTCCCTCTGCCTTGCCACACTTACCCTTCTCTTTCTGCTCCCCGAGTCCCTCCTACCCCGCTCTCCTGCCCTCTGTCTCACTCACTGTGCCCCAGCCTCCTCCAACGCCTTCACGTTTTCCAGTGCTGACTTTTTAAGTAGCTGCGTTTCTTGGTGTTTATGATCTGTGAACAAGGCTGGAATTTTCACAGACAGTGACTCTGGTAGGTTGTCTTGTGATTTTCCAGTGTGCTCTGCATCTATTACAAACGGTACTGAGAATTTTGAAGCTTGGTTCTTGCTCAGGATAGTAGAATGCACAAGGCTCTCAGGATGCTGGACAGCTCCCAGTCAGCCCCACAGTCACAAAGGAAGCAGCAAGCTTGCTGTGTCGTCAGCATTCTGTCTTCTCGCCCTTTCATGTGCGTGTGGTGGCGGGACGCTCATTCACATGTAAGTACCTGTGTGTGCATGCATATAGAGGCCTGAGATTAATATCAGAAATCAACTTCTGATGGGGGGTGTCCTTCTGTGTATATGTTTCTCTTATCGGTTGATGAACAAAGCACTGTTTGGTTACTGGCCAGGCAGGACGGATAGGTGGGGCTACCAGACAAGGAGAATTCTGGGAAGTGTAGGTATAGAGGAGTCCTCATGTGAACCCGGGGAAGAGAGAACGCGAGTCAGGCATTCTCTGGTAGGATAAGACCATGTAGAAATGCATAGATTAGTAGTTAAGGGTTGATAATTAAGACAGAGCTAGCCAATAAGAAGAAGCCCAAGCCACCAACCAACAGTTTCATAATTAATAGCATCTGTGTGTTTATTTGGGGCTCCAGGGTGGTGGGACCCCAGCTGGGTCAGAAAACTCATGCTTATAACCTTCCATCATTCCTCAACTGTATTTATTTGAGGTTCTCTCCATCAAACCTAGAGCTCACCAACATGGCTAGTCTTGATAGCCAGCTGGCTCTGAAATCCCGTCTCCACCTTCTAAGTCTGGGATTATGTGAGGATACCACGACATCCAGCATGTACAGGGGCTCTGGGGTTCCAAACGTTAGCCCTCATACTTGGAAGGCAAATGCTTCAGCACTGAGCCATGTCTCCTGAGATCACAGCTTGAGACATTTGTCAAGAGATGCTCAGGGCAGCTAACATAACCCAGTGACATTAGCTCTCTTCTGAGGTGCCGAAGTCAAGCGTATGATCCTTTTTATCGGCACCCTGCCCTTGCCACGGCACTGGAGCCCCAAGCCTTCATCCTCCCTCCCTTGAATCTCTTGTCCCAGTAAGAGCAAATATTTCCAGTCAGTTGCTTTGTCATTTGTGAGTGATTCCCCAATAGATACCTGACTTCCCTTTATCTGAGCTTTCATGAACTCTATTACAATTGTCCATCACACACATGCACATAAATACACACACATGTGCACACACACACATATTCATACACTCAAAGAGTTCACACATCATCAGGGTTTATTTAGCCTAATTTGGAACCAGCACCAAGAAGTGACGGGCAGAGTTCTTCCCCAACACCTCAAGCACGTCTGAGCACCACTTCCTATGTCCTCCAAGCCAAGGTCGGGTCCCCACGTCACCATTTCCTCCCATACTCTGGGCATGTTGGATGGCTGCAGAGAATGCCCCATGGGTGATCCCCAGAGTATAAAGGAAGGTGTATTAGTTAGCTGGCTGGGGTTTGACTGTTGGGTAGATCTCCAGCAGCCTCACTGGAGGCTCCTTCACCTTTGTCCCCTCCCGGGAAGACAACTGTGGCATATGTCACAGGCTTGGATGACACCAGAACCTTAGGAGGCAGAGGGGGCTGTTGGGGTGGGGCTGGGGGTTTCCTTGATGGAGGATCAAGAGAAAAGCCCGGGTAGGTGGTGTCAAAGGAAGGCGGCGAGTCTAGCCTCACATATGGTACATCCGTGGGCAGCCCAGCAGCCAGTCCAGAGTCACTGCTGTGGTAGGCTGCTGAGGAGGGTTCCTGGAATAAAAGCAGACAAGTCACACAAAGGCACTCTGCCAGCGTTCCCTCTGATGGGAATCCAGAGACCACGATGACCTGCTGTAACAATCCCAGTATGTCAAAGGGACAAGAGGGCATTCCTTTGGCCAGGGATGGTGGTACCGAGGCACACACATACATTTAATCCCAGGACTCAAGAGTTCAAGTTCAGCCTGGTCTACATAGTGAGTTCCAGGCTGGCCAGCAGTACCTAGTGAGATCCTGCTTGAAAAACAAAACAACAACAACAAAAAAATCTGGGAGTCATGGTGCACACTTTCAACCCCAGCACTCAGGGAGCAGAGACAATTGAATCTCTGTGACTTTGAGGCCAGCCTGGTTTACATAGTGAGTTGTAGGCCAGTCAAGTATAAAGAGACCGTGTCCCTTTAAAAAGCAAGTAGAGTGGGGTGCTTAGAAGATGTCCTAAGCCCCAAGGCACTCCCAGACAGGAAGGCGTGGGTCTGGACCAAGTAAGTCTGTCTTTTCTTTACCTACTCTAGTGTGATGGGTGAGGGGCACCTGCAGGGTTCTCTTACCGTGCCTGAAGCTCCGCTGCTCTGGGATCGTCCGCAGACACCGAGCCTGCTCCCTGGCAGCAGAGAACAGCAGTCCTTTTGCTTGCAGCGTGGCTCCAAGCATCCCAAAGCCTCCCGGGCCTTTGTTAGTACAGACTCACTTTCTGCCCTCCTGTCTCTAAGCTTGACCCCTCCACCTCTGCACCCCCAGCCCGCCTTGCTTCCCTGCCCTTGCTTTCTGCTTCTCCAGCTGCCTCAATAAACCTCCCTCCTCCATCCCTGTCTCTCCTCGGGCCTGCCCTAGCCTGATCAGCCGCTGGCATTCCAGCATGCCAGCAGTTAGGGACCCGCTAAAGAACAGCAGGAGTTTCCATGTGAAGACACACGTCTCCGGGCCTTGCATTCAGAAGTGAGCCGCCAGAGGAGGTAGAGAGTACATACCTTTCCTTCTGGTCATCACAGCCACCAGCACCACGGCCACCAGCAGGCCTAGCAGGAGCACAGCACCCCAGATCAGGGGGACACTGAGAGACAGAAAGCGACAGACCGGTTTAGCACTGGGCCCCGAGGGGTGTGGCCGACCAAGAGCCCTGGGGTGTTGGGAGACACTGCCACATTCTTTGAGAACCATAAATGAGAGGAGATGGAATGGGGGGGGGAGATGAGGTAGGCCCAGACTGGGGAGAGGAGAGGCACGTTTTTCATAGTGTCTTTGTTGGAGATCTACCGGAGTGAAGGGACAGATAGTGAAATGAATGATAGGGGTCCGTCTGTCTGCTGCTGAGGAGTTCCCTGGCAGTGGAATGAGTTATCAGTACATTTGATTTGAGGTGAGTTTTAAAATTTGTGTGTATATGTGAGAGCATATATGCACATGCATGCAAATGACTCCATAGGCCTGAAGAGAGCTTCCGAAGCCCTGGCGCTGGAATGCTAGGCCCTGGGAACTGCTGGGACTGGATCCTGCCCTCTGTTAGGACAAGGACTCTGAGCTGTCTCTCCGTCCCTCCATCTGATTCAGTCCACAGCTCAAAGCCAGTTGTATTTTTAGAGCCCGGTCCCTCTGGCCACCCACACCACTGTTTCCAGCACCTGTTCTCATGCCTTCGGAACTCGTGAGGACTGGCACTCCCCGCAGGGTCCACGGAGGGCTCCTCTGGCAGACCTCCCGTTCTATAGCTCCCCGTCTTGTCCTCGGCTTCCTTCTCCTCTCCTGGGCCAGGGACTGAGCCAGAAGGAAACACATAGTGAGGGCACAGCCATCGTAGAGCTTTCATGACCTGTCAAGATCTGCGGAACTGAGGAAAAGGAGCTTAGGAACTCCAGGCCACCAGGGAGGGCAGACAGACCGGGAACACCCCTTTCTTACGCCATAGAATGGCTTCCACTCTGCTCCTCTGCCTGGCTGTGAGCATAGCCATCTCCCCTCTGCTACCAGCCCCTCCCACAGCCCCCTGCATTTCTGCATTTCTGCATCTCCAGCCATGCCCTAGGATGTCTCCAGGTCTCTCAGACTATGCCCCACCGTCACTGTATGTCTCTCCTGAGCATCCCAGAGTGGACCGTCTGCCCCTGAGCATCCCAGAGTGGACTGCCTGCCCCTGAGCATCCCACAGTGGATCGTCTGCCCCTGAGCATCCCAGAGTGGACCGTCTGCCCCTGAGCATCCCAGAGTGGACTGCCTGCCCCTGAGCATCCCACAGTGGACCGTCTGCCCCTGAGCATCCCACAGTGGACTGCCTGCCCCTGAGCATCCCACAGTGGACCGTCTGCCCTTGAGCATCCCAGAGTGGACTGTCTGCCCCTGAGCACCAGCCTTGCTCTCGGCTCTCACGAGTCTTCAGTGAGCGTCTCCTCCCGTGTACCTGGAGCCCTGTGGCCCCGTATTCAGGCTGATTAGGATCCCATCCCAAGCTCTGCCTCTGAGATTTATGGGATTCTGGCTTAGTGATAATGGGAGGCAACACTCAGTGACCTTTCCGAGAGCCCAGCTGGCACCTAGACTCCAATGTGATGAAGCTTCTGTCATTTCTACAGTACTTAGCTTTGGCTGCAGGACTCAGGCGTGTGTCGATGGGGGTGGCTTTTGAGGTTTCAGAAGTCCATGCCATCCTCACTGTCCCCTCTTTGTCTGCCGCGTGTGTGTGTGTGTGTGTGTGTGTGTGTGTGTGTGTGTGTGTGTGTGTGTAAACTCTCAGGCCACGCCTGCCCACCTGCAGCAGAGATCCCCGCCGTGATGGTCGTGGATGCTGTCTGAAGTTGTAAGCCCCAATAAACTCTTCCTTCTGTACGCTGGTGTCTCGTCTCACCAACAGAAAACTAGCACAGCTGCTCTCTGAAACTGAGCGCTTGCCTGAGGCACAGGCCATCCCCTCCCTGGACACCATGCTCTATCTACCCTTCTGCAGCTCTTCTTGCACTCGCCCTACTGCACGGAGAAGAGCCCTCTCTCAGTGAGGGAGTACCAGCTGTCTCTTCTCTTCCCCATCTTTCCAGCCAGATGTGTCTTGTTGCAGTCTGTCTTTTAGGGAGTTAGTTAGAGCCTGGAGTTTCCCCAGGCATAGTGGAGCATGCCTCTAATCCTAGCATTGGGGAGGCAGAGGATCTTTTCAAGTTTGAGGCCCTCATGGTCTATGTTGTGGGTTCCAGGTTAGCCAGGGTTACATAGATCATGTCCCCACGGAGGTGTCTCAGTGGGTAAAGGGCCTACCATGCAAGCATGAAGATCTAAACTTGATCCTTAGCACTGTGTAGAAGCCAGGCATAGAGTACATGTCTGTAGCCCCAGCACTGGGGACAGGGTGTGGGGACAGCCGCATCCCTGTAGCTGATTGATCAGCCAGCCTAGCACAGATCTGAGAGACCCTGTCTCCAGGAATAAGGTGGAGAGTAAGAAACCCACCATTGACCTTTGACCTCCGCATGCATGCATGCACACGCCCACAGGAATATCTGTATAGACTGCAGATGCAGCAAAAATAGAAAAAAAACATAAGACAAAACTCAGAGTGGCGAGACCTCAGCATGTCAAGGATGAGGAATCCTGAGAAGGACTCATGTCAGCCACCATCTGCTGACTGTGTAAAATGATACCTTGGGCCAGCAAGATGGCTCAGAAAGAAAAGGGGCTTGCTGCCGTGACTGATGACCGAGTTTGATCCCAGAACCCACACGGTGAAGGAGAGAATCGGCTCTCACCAATACTCTTCTGACCTCTACACACGCACTGTGACATGCCCGGGCACACACACAGTAAGAAATGAATGCAAAGTTTTAAATGATAGCTGTGGTTTGACAACAAGGGGAACCCAGTGACAATCCAATCCACTCCTCTTACGTGTCCAGGGAAACCAAAGGGAGGAGAACGACTTTAATTTTGTCATCAGGGGATCAGACACAAGTTACAGCTCACCAAAGATCAAAGCCACCAGCCAGTCATCTCCAGCAATTTCTCTGCAGAGCAGGCTTTTTAAATTAATTTTTATTTTTTATTTTATGTGCGTGCATGTTTTGCCTGCATATGTGTGCACACTATGTGTGTGCCTGGTGCCCAAGGAGGCCAGAAGAGAACATCACATCCCCTGGAAATGGAGTTTCTGGAGGTTGTGAGCTGGCATGTGGGTGCTGGGAATCGAACCCAGGTCCTCTGGAAGAGCAGCCAATGCTTTTAACCACTGAGCCGCCTCTCCAGACTGCTAGCATTCTATTTTAAATTACATTTTTTACTTTAATAAACGCCTAGAAAGATGTGACCTGTGAGAATAAAACCTGCTAAAGCAATGTGCTTCCTCAACTAAGATTTCTCAGGGAGTTAAACATTGATGTACTTAATGTTAATGGATAATAGCAGGCTTAAATATTTTAAAATTTTTAATTTAATTTTTTTAGAAGTCCCTCCCCAATTTAAAACTGAGTGGAATCAGGCACAGCATTACACACCTATAATCCTCATGTTCAGCTGAAGGAAGAGGATCATGAGTTTGAGGCCCACCTAGGCTATATAAATGGGTCCCAGACAAGTCTGGGATATAGAGTAAGAGTTCTAAAAAAGCAAACAAATCCGGAATAAGTTAAAGTCCAACCCAGGAACTACAGGATCCCATCTATAGGTCAGGCCCTTACTGAATACTCAGGGAAGACTCATAAACTCTGTTAAGATAAACTTTAAATTGTCAAAGGAAGTCAGGGCTGAGGAAATGACTCAGTGGGCAAGCATGAGGCCCTGAGTTCAAATCCCCAATACTCATGTAAAAATACTGGATGTGAAACCCCAGTGCTGGGGACTAGAGATAGACAAATCCCTATCTGGCCAGCCAGTCCATCCAAAACAGTGAGCTTGTTTCAGTGAGAGACCTTGTCTCAAAATAATAAAGGGGAGAATGATAGAACCGGACATCCTAGGGGCTGTACAGGTGGTGCATTTGCAAATACACCACACACTCATGTATATACATACACACACTCATATATGCACAAATACACCCACACACTCATATACATACACACATACACCCCACACTCATGTATACACACACATACACACTCATGCACACATACACCCACATACTAATGTACACCCATACTCTCATATATACACAATACACCCCCACACTCATGTATACACATATACCCAGAGACTCATGTACACACATACACACACACTGGAAGGCACAAAAATTAATTTCTGTTAATGTGCTTGAAATTCCATGAAGTAAAGGGAAGACAGTGCCAAGTTTGGTAGAGCTGGGGGAAGACACAAGGGCCCCAGAGATGCTGTGACAGGAAGCCACCGTGAGGGAAAGGAAGGGGGCTGTCCACTGAGCATCTTATCTTCAGCTTCCCAAACAGTTCCGTTGCCACTCAGTCCCACAGAGCTGTCAAAAAGCTATCTCTGCCCTGCGCTCCACACCTCAAGTCCCCAAGGGCGCCCCCCACAGGCCGTCTTCTGACCACACTCACCTGGAGGAAGCACCATCAGGGAGACCCTGTGCAGGGTCTGGGGCCCGGCGGCTCCCTCCACCACACAGCCGTACTCGCCTGTGTCCTCCTCCTGCAGGGCCACCATTTCCACCTGCAGGAGCCCCCCGCCCAGGTCAGTGAGGAACACGCGCCCGCTTCCCGGGTCTCTTCGGTCCACGGTTGAGGTCACCAGTGGCTGGCAGCCTTCCTGCAGGAACCGGCACCACACCTTCCGGGCCCTCACATCCTGCAGCCGGTAGTGGCACTGCACCTGAATGAATGACCCGACGGGTGCCTGCAGCACCTCGGGGTGGCTGTCAGCTGAGCCCTGGCCTGGGGAAGGAGCAGAGGTGGGGGCGAGGGTTAGACAGAAGCAGGAATGGCTCCTAGCCCACCCTCTGGGGACCAGGGGGCGGTCTGCGACGCTTAAGGCTGGGGAAGGAGGTGTGGCTCCTCGTACACCTTACCGGCCAGTCCCAGGAGCAGCAGCAGCAGGTAGCAGCCCATGGCTGGGCAGATGTTTCAGATCTGAGTGGCCGGCCTCCTCGGGGACACTGCAGGCCCCTGGGGGCAGGAAACATCTGTCTCATACGGTCACGTGGGCTCTCCAGTAACCACAGGGGCCAACAGAGTCAGACTGGTGGGACTCTTCGGGGTTGGGGGCAGGGAGCTTCTCTGGGGCTTGCTTAGCTCAGGGCTCAGAGACTCTGAGAGACTGGTAGAAGAATGTGAGAGAGGTTGGAAGGAGGGGTCCTGACTCCCCGCCAACGGGAATGGTGAGAGGACCCAGCTCCCAGAGGACAGAAGTAAGGATAATCTTCCGTCTCCTGAGTACAGACATGCAGAAACAGCTTTGAAGGAAAGCGCGGTCCCTCCATGTGGCCCGAGGCCCTCTGAGTCTCAAGTTTTTATGAGTGACACCCCGTCCTGGCTCCACACACACATGCCACCCCAGCTCCAGGAGACCCTTCACTCCGTCACTACAGCCACTTGGCTGGAAACCCACTGGACCCATCTTTGCCTGTGTCCTGCCTAGACTCTCCGGAGCCTTTCTTTCGAACCTGCCCTCCCCAATTCTGGGGACCGTGCTGTCCTTCAGTGTGAACACATCACACCCTCCCCTCCCCTGCTGTCTGCAGCCCCCCCCATAGCTGCATGAGCCTCGTCTTCTTAGGCATACATCACACCCTCTCCTCCCCTGCTGTCTGCAGCCCCCCCCCCATAGCTGCATGAGCCTCGTCTTCTTAGGCACTCTTCCGTTTTCACGACTGTTCTTTCTCATTGCTCATCTCTTTATTGTACTCTGGCTCCTAGGAACCTCTGCACAAGCTTCTTCCATCCCCTCTATTACCTTTTTTTATTTTTTTTTTTAGAAGAAAGCATTTAATCATGCTAACAGCTCCAGAGGGTTAGAGGCCATAATGGAAGAGCAAAGCAGGAACATCTTAGAGCTCACATCTTGATCTGGTCCTGTGGTGGGTGGAGAAGACCAGGGATCTGGGGTGCATAGGCTCCCGCCGGGAGGGGAGGCTCAGTGGCAGTCTCCAGGTACTGGAACATGGGCCCAGAAACAGGCTCTGACTTGCCTGGTCCCATGGGTGGAGAAGAAGACCAGGAATCTGGGGTGCATAGGCTCCCACCGGGAGGGGAGGCTCAGTGGCGGTCCCAGGCACTGGAAAACCCCTCTAATATCTTTATGCTTCATTTTCCTTTTGGAGGCAAGGTCTCATGCAGCCCAAGCTAACCTCAAGTTTGATATGTAGCCAAGGGTGATCTTGAATTTCTAATTCTCTCCACTCCACCCCCCTAGTGCTAAAATTTCAGGTATCAGTTGCCACCTGGTTTCTGTGGTGCTGGGGACAGAAACCAGCACTTGCTTCACGAATGCTAAGCAAACCCTCTACCAACTGAGCTGCATCCCCAGAACATTGTTTCATTCTTTCTCTGAAAGAGATTTGTTTTTAAGTGTGTGCTGTTTTGCCTTTATGTAAGTGTGTGTGTGTGTGTGTGTGTGTGTGTGTGTGTGTGTGTGTGCAATACTTGCAGAGACCAGGGGAGGGCACCTGATCCCCCGGAACTGGAGTTACAGATGGTTGTAAACCACCATGTGGGTTCTGGAAACTGAGCCTGGGTCTCCACGTGGTCTAACAGTGTGTGCAAAGAGCCCTTATGCTCGAGTGTGACTGAGCCGTGATCATTCTCCAGGACTGGAGACTGGAACACAGAGTCTCGTATCCCTCACTTTCCTTCCTAAGAGCTTTTGAACTCCAGAACAATGGTGTCCATTGTTTCTTTGTCTGTCTCTTCCTCTCTCTATAGAGGAAGGTGAGTCAATGCACCTGCATATTACTTTTCTTACGGCTATGACAAAATCACCTTAAGGGGCGTGGTTTACTGGGGATGTTGGTCTGTTAGGATAGCAAGGGCACAGCAGCAGAAGCCTGAAGTGCTGGCCACACCATGGAGGCAGACAGGAAGCAAAGACAGATCAGAAGCAGGGCTCAACTTCTGTGACTCCTAAAGATTCCATAATCCCCCAGCACCACCTGCTGTGAACTATGGATTCCACACCCCCTGCTGTGGCCCCTAAAGTTTCCCCACACCCCCCAGCACTCCTGCTGGAGCCATGTGTTGACATACGTGAACCTGTGTGGGGCATTTCAAAACCTGGCACTCACATGTTTCTTGATCTGTCCGTTTACTTGGGGGCTCTTTAGATTCAGACTGCAGAGGAAGCAACTGGTCTCAGAATTGCTCTGGGGAGCTGGGCTCTGGGAACCAGACAGACATGTGATAAAGAGTCTGTCAGAACTAGAGTCACATGTAGGGGTGGACACATTTCCCTGGTGTGGAAGATGAGCTCCAGAGAAGGGCAGGAAGACATTTTCCCTTCCTCTCTCCCTCCCTCCCTCCTCTCCCCTACCTATAACTCCTCTAGTAGGAATGAGGATATCTTAAAGAGACACTAGCACCCTGTCTTCAACTATCAGACTATTGAAACAACAGACTCCCAAGGAATCAGAATTGCCCCTGAAATCTCATGGGGGAGGAAGGGAAAGCCTGAGCCTTGGTGCCAGCTTTCTGAAGGGAATTTGTCTCCCGGTTACACAATCGTCAGATTACCTTGCCAGACAGCGATGGTGGGCAGTTTGGCACCTGGCCGAGATGCCTTGTCCATGCCTTGTCCCTCTATTTAAGCCCAAAGCTCATGTTAAGACCCCCAAAATGGTGCTGGGGTGATGGCTCTGCAGATAAAGTACTTGCTGTCTAAGCATGAAGGCAGGAGTTTCAGTCCCCCAAGAACCCATCTCAATATCACTCCAAGGAAGACAGAGACAGAGATCCCCAGAGCAAGCTGGCTAGAGAGACGAGTCATGTCATCGGGTGTGGTTAGAGACCTTGCCTCAATGAATAAAGTGGAAGCCCTCAAGGATCTGAATTGGGTAGTTACTGGGATCTAAACTCAGGTCCTTTTTTTTTTTTTTGGTTTTTCGAGACAGGGTTTCTCTGTATTGTTTTGGAGGCTATCGGTCCAGCCCAGCCTCGAACTCACAGAGATCCACCTGCCTCTGCCTCCCGAGTGCTGGGATTAAAGGCGTGCACCACCACCACCCGGCTAACTTAGGTCCTTTATAAGGATACCAAGTACTCTTAACCACTGAGCCTTCTGTGGTAGTTTGAATGAGGATGTCCTCAATAGCCTCTGGTAGTTTGAATGTATTTGATCTCCATAAGCTCACAGGGAGTGGAGCTATTAGAAGCTGTGACTTTGTTGGAGTGGGTTTGGCCTTGTTAGAGGAAGTGTGTCACTGTGGGGGCGGGCTTTGAGGTCTCCTATGCTCAGGATACTGCCCAATGTCTCAGTTAACTTCCTGTTGCCCATAGGATGTAGAACTCTGGGCTCCTTCTCCAGCATGTCTGCCAGCATGGTACCATGCACTTACACAAAGAAGCGGGTGACCACCGCAGGTTCCAGCTCCAAGGATTCACCCAGGCTGCCCTCTGTGACCCGACCAGAAGCAAGAGAGAGTCACCTGGTCCAACCCCAGACCTGAAACCCACTCTTCATCATGTCAGCACTTGTGACCACGCCCAAATGGGTGTGGTCAGAGTTACAGGTGCGGGTGGGGTAGATATCTCACTATAATTCCCTCTTTAGTCTAAATAAAAAGACTTAGGCTTGATACAAACCCATATACAAAGATAGCAAATCTCACGTGTGCTCTAGGTGAAGGAAAAGTAAGAACAAATGCATTAAGACCTATTGCCAGGGAAGCAACTGGAGCAAATGGCAAGAACTACATAAAAGGGGGCTGGAGAGATGGCTCAGAGGTTAAGAGCACTGGCTGCTCTTCCAGAGGTCCTGAGTTCAGTTCCCAACGGCCACATGGTGGCTCACAACCATCTGTACTGAGATCTGGTGCCGTCTTCTGGCCTGCAGGCATACACGCAGACACAGTACTGTATACACAATAAACAAATAATTAAAAAAAGAACGAACTACATAAAAGGAAGCATTTGATTGGAGGTCTGCTTGCAGTTCAGAGGGTGAATCCATCATCATCATGGTGGGAAACAGATAGGTATGGAACTGGAGCACAAGGCCACACCTCCTAACCCTCCCCAAACAGTTCACTCCTTGGTGACTAAGCATTCAGACAGAAGATGCTATGTGGGCCATTGTCATTCACTGAAGGATAAGGAACTGCGGCCTTGTTGGAGAATGTGGGTCACTGGGGGCAGGCTTTGAGGTTTCAAAAGCCCACATAAGGCCTAGTCTCTCTTTCTCTCTTTGTCTCTGTCTGTCTATCTCTGACTCTGTCTCTCTGCCATTTTCTTGTGGATCAGATTTCAGATTAAGTTCTCAACTACTGCTCCAGCACCACGCTCCCTACCAGGGACTCACCGTCTGAAACTGTAAGCCAGCCCCAATTAAATGCTTCCTTTTTTAAGTTGCCTTGGCCATGGTGTCTCTTCACAGCGACAGAACAACAGTAACTAACACGCCATTTCTCCAGCCCCCTGTGAAGTTGTGGAGTGTTGGTGGACTAACTAGTTGCTTTACTAATCTATTTTTACTATCAACCAGCTGTCATGGGTTGAGGAACCTGCTTACTACAAGTTGTCAGGAGGTAGAGATGAGGCTGAAGCCCAGGGTCTATCTACTGTTCAGTCCATGGGGATCCTTAGACCAAGGCAGGGCATCTCCATGATCACTGAAACCCAGGTGGACAGCTCGGCATGGAAGAGCAGGTAAGAGTGAAGACCCAACTCCAAGAGGAGAGCAGTCACCATACTGCAGTGCAGGGCGTGTCTCAGGGGCATGTCTCAGGGGCATGTGTGAGGGCATCTCTGTGGGTGTGTCTCAGGAGCATGTGTGAGGGCATCTCTGTGGGTGTGTCTCAGGAGCATGTCTGTGGGCATCTCTGTGGGAAGTCTGAGGGCATCTCTGTGGGCATGCCTGTGGGCGTCCCTGTGGGTATGTCTGGTGTATGTCTAGGGGCATGTCTGGGGGCACATCTGCCTATGGGCATTTCTGGGGTGATGTCTGGGGTGACGTCTGGGGACATTCTGTGGGCATGTCTATCTGTGGCATGTCCAGGGAGATTGTCTTGAATGTTAACAGAGGTAGGAAGATTCAGCCCGAATTCAGACAGCACTGTTCCCTGCACTGGGAGGAGCGGAAGTTAACTGAGCAAGTGATGGAGTGGATGCATTTGTTTCTCTCCGCCTTTAGCTGAGGATGTAATGTGACTAACTGCTTGAGTTTGCCTTAGCTTCCCCAAATCGATGGACTATGGCTTGGAAAATAAGCTAAGCAAGCCCTTTCCTACCCCTGCTGCTTTTGGTCAGGGTGTGTTATCACAGCAACCGAATTGAAACGACAGTGCTAAAGAGATGGACATGGGCCTCACATTCTTTCTGCTCACAATGCCTCGAGTATGTCCCAGCTTCCTTCAGATGTCCCCCTTGACCGTTCTGCTCAAAATGACGCACTCCTTCTCCTCTGCACCCGGCTTTAATTTTAAATTTTCATCAACACTTTTGCCTTCAGACATAACCCGCTGTGTTCACCGCCACCCCGCCCGCTCCTCTTCCTAGAACAAGACGTCTAATGCGGAATCTGCCCTGTGCTTCTGAGACTCGGGTCATGCTCGGAACAACATGCTGAAATGCACTTGTTCACAAGCAGGACGGAGCTAGAGAAAAGGGCGCCGGCAACGTGGAGGGAAACTTGGACTTCCAGGCTCTACTGGAGACATAAATGAGCCCCCTCTGTCTCTGGGCTCCATTTCCTCTCAGGACATCCAGGGGTGTGGACCCTGTTCCCAGCCCAGACGCTGTGTGTGGCTTGGTCTTTGTCGTTCCTCCAGAGGAGAAGTTGCTGATGGAAGCACAGCTCTGGGAGACGAGAGGGTGAGTCAGTGGTTGGGCAGACCCGAGCGGCAGAAGTGGGGGTGGAGAGGAAGGAGCCCGGGGCTGGGAAGGGGGCAACTGTAGGAGCGGATGGAGAGAATGCCAGAAGGGCAGAGAGGAAGATGGCCAGTTATCCACAGAAGGGCTTGCTTGGTGACCAAATCCAGGGACGCGAGAATGGAAAGATCAACTTGATTGGAGCCTATGAGATGGAATATACGGTACCCACAATGGTTAATTTTAACTGTCATCTTGACGCAATCTAGAACCTCCGAAGAAAGACTCAAAGCAGGGGGCTGTCTAGATGAAGCTGGCACACAGGGGTGTCTGGGGCCCCCTCAGGCACCCCTGTACAGAGTACACATTGATGGGTGTGGGAAGACCGAGCTCACTGAGGGTAGGTAGCACACTTCCCCAGTCAGGGCTCCAGCACTGTATAAGTGTAACAGTATAGAGGGCCACTGTGTAACAGCACTGAGTAACAGTATAGAGGGCCACTGTGTAACAGCACTGTGTAACAGTATAGAGGGCCGCTGAGCACATGCGCCTGCATCCATTCCCTATTTGCCCTTGACTGTGGATGCACTGTGACAAGCTGTTTGCAGTTCCTGCTGCCTCGACTTCCCTTCTGGAATGAGGTGCAATCTAGAATTATGAGCTAAAATCAACCCTTTCTCCCCTAAATTGATTTTGGTCAGCATTTTACCACAGCAATATAAATGGAATTCAGACAGTATCTTTGGACCCCAGACCTCTTACCCAGATGCATAATCCTACCCTGGGAGTTGTCCCAGGGGTAAGCTCATGCCTAGCATGCACAAGATCATGAGTTTGGTCCCAGCACCGAGAAAGAGAAGACCTTTGTGAGGCACAGAGCCATCTAGAAAGAGTGATGATCCTGCGTTAGCGTGTGAGAGTATTTAATGCCCATAGCCCAGAGTTGACAGGCGATCTTCCAGCTCTCTTCCACACTCAATGCGTACACACACGAGTCTTCCTGCTTCCAGGAGAGGTGGGCTTTAGGCAGAAATGGCTCCTGAAGCCATAGTAGCAGCAGCAGAAGTTTTAGTGGCAGAGTATGCAAGGTGGGTGACTTGGGGGACTCAGCCAGGCTTCTACTCCAGCTTGGAGTTCTGTCATGTATCTCTGGGTCCTGCAACACACGGCGCCCAGTCCCTTCCAACCCTTCCTGGTTCACACACGGCGCCCAGTCCCTTCCAACCCTTCCTGGTTCACACACGGTGCCCATTCCCTTCCAACCCTTCCTGGTTCATACACGGCGCCCAGTCCCTTCCAACTCTTCCTGGTTCACACACGGCGCCCAGTCCCTTGTGCCCCGTTTACCCCACTCACCAGTCAGGACCTGAAGTTGGTGCTCAGCATTGTGACCGCAGTCCAGCCCACCGGCCACAGGTGACCCCAGCTTCTGCCTGCCCCTGGCCACAGCCCAGAGGACACCGGCTGTAAGAAGCTTGCTGAAGAGGACACAGGCCAGGAGGATGAGGATGGAAGTGGGTGGGAAGGAGGTCTCTCCTGATTGGCCCCTTGGAAAGAGAAGGAAGATGGTAGAGGTGATCTACAGGATGAAACCTGCCCTTGGAGACGGAATAGAGAGGAACCAGGAATTCCTGGGGGCTTGGGTGACTGGGAAGGGGCTTTGTGGGGGCTTAGAGGAATCTGCAAGTCTATTAGGATCTGCTGAGGGCACAAAACATACAACAGGGGTTGCAAAACATCTGCCCAGGGATTGCAGAACACAGTTCTGTATTAGTGCATAGGAATGGATGAACCTGCACATGTGCTCAGGGGTTACAGAACATAGTTCTGTATTAGTACATAGGAATGGATGGGCCTGCACATGTTCTCAGGGGTTGTATCATTTCTGTACTAGTACATAGAATGGATGGACCTGCACATGTGCTCAGGGGTTGCAGAACACAGTTCTATATTAATACATGAAGCATTCAGAATGGGTCCTGGTTCTTCTGAAGAAGTAGAGACCCAAGGTCCTTGGTTTTAAGCTACAGCCCTGAGACTTCTTGCTGTGGTACTTCTGGAAATTGTCACAAAGGGCTCCAGTTTCTTAATATCTAAGCCCAGTGACGTCAGTGTGCTAGTGGGTGGGAGACGACACCTGGGCCTTTGACTGAGCTGCTGGTCCTGGGACCCCATCCCCAGTCACTGCCAGAAGTCTGAAGGGGGCACCACTGTACCTGGAGGTGCTGTGTTCCACTTGGGCACCATCAAAACTCTCCAATTCCTTAGGGACCCATAGGTCTTCGGCATCTTGTTCATCTAGAGGGTCTATGAGAGACAAGCCATGAGACCACTGTTCTTTTAGGCCACTGCCTGTTGTGGAGAGCCATATAACTCAGGAAGTAAAGAAAACTACAAGGCTCAGGAATCTCACTCCAAGCCATTACAGCTGTTGGGGAGAGGAGACTCAAACCAGGACCAGCTGCTTACAAGTTATTCAGGGAGCTCCAGGAATGCAGGGAGCTCCAGGGATACAGAGAGCTCCAGGGATACAGAGAGCTCCAGGGATGCAGGGAGCTCCAGGGATACAGAGAGCTCCAGGGATGCAGGGAGCTCCAGGGATGCAGGGAGCTCCAGGGATGCAGGGAGTTCCAGGGATGCAGGGAGCTCCAGGGATGCTGGGATGGGCTTTTTGGTGATGCAGCTGGTTTGGAGCTGCCTGTAAATAAACCCTCGCCCATGCACCTACAAGTAGCCCCAGTAAATTCACTAGTTCACTGAGCTAGACCTGGGTGGAACCTTTGCTTGGATCTGTTGCTAGTGGCTAAATTGGGACAGACATTTGCTTATGTCTCCCAGGAAAGTCACACAAACATGGCCCAAGGACCAGCCAAAGGTCCAGCCACTGTACTCACCTGCCAGCACCTCCACCAGGACCTTCTGGAGGACATCAGCCTCTTGGCCTCGGAGGCTCTGACACTGGTAGAGACCCGCGTCACTGGCTTGGAGGTTTCGCAGAGTGATGGTGAGGGTTCCAGCCAGGGCGTCGTCCGTGATGACCGTGCTCCCGTTCCGTTTCCTCAGGAAGGCCAACAGCCACACGTTGTGTGTGCTCACCACACGCTGGCACGGGCCCCCCTCAGCCAGCTGGCGACACCAGGCCTTCCGTCTTCCCCAGTACTTCAAGGAGTCGTAAGTACATGATACCCGCAGGGCCTGGCCAGCCACACCCTGCAGCACCGTTGTGTTGAGGGCTTGGGATGACTCTGCAGGGGAGACTGCCACTTGTCACCTCATCCACCCACCAAGTGGTCACCGAGTGTCTGTCTACCACCAGCAGCAGACTATGCAGACAGGATCCTGCCCTTAAAGAGCTTAGGGTGTCTAGGGAGAGGGGGTGTCTAGGATGCTTCCCAGACACCTTTGGAGGCAGCAGCCGGGATGCAGGGAACACAGTGAACATGCGGTCATCAGAATAAGCTCCGTCCTCAGACACCGTCCACTTTTTGCTTGAAACAGGATATCTTACCAGTGCACAAGATAGTTAATGTTCTTCTGAGCTTGTGTGTGAGGAATTTTCTAGATCAAGTTAGCCTACGGGAGTGCTGATGAGAGAGTATCTGGATTCAGCTAATTGGGGCGAGAAGCCCCACACTGAATAGGGCAGCAACAAGGTCCCTACAACATCAAAAGGAGGAAGAGAACCAGGTAGCTGCCCTCATCTCTCAGCTTCTTGACTAGGCATGCAACGTAGCAGCCGCTTCCTGCTTCTGCACCATGTCCTTCCCTCCAGAATGGATTGTATACCCTAGCACCGCAAGCCAAAGGCACCCGTCTTTCACCGAGTCACTTTTGTAAGATTATTTTGTCATAGCAGCGCAACAGTAACTAGCACAGCTTACACAGACCAAGCCGTCCTGTGCACTTCTAAGGATCTGAATGGCTCTGCCTCCTGTGTCTCCATCCCTGGGAGACAGGTACACGCCACTACATCTGGCTTTTCTCACGGGTTCTGCGGGTCCAAATGCAGTCAATACAAAAACCGTATCGACTAAGCCATGCCTTGTTCTTGAAACCCCTCTGGTTCTACTTTGGACATCTTCCCTCCTGTCATATGGGACCAGGATGTCTCTTCTCCCCTCTTCATCTCAGGAGAGCAAGGTTAATGGATCCTTGGAGCTCGGCTGGTTCCCCAGGGATCTGGGATACCCTCCTCGCTTACCCTGCCTCGCTGGCTGCTCTCTTCAGTCATCCACACTGGATGTCTCTCTTTTCCCAACCTTCAGCTCACAGCTTCCCTATTTCTGTGGCTCTGTTCCTCTTTTAGGAAGGACTTGTCTCAAAGCTATTTTGGGGGAGACACGAGGCTGCCGTTATGGGGCACCTCTTGGGGTAGGGTTGGTGGCATTGGCGCACCCACCAAGTTGTGGTCAGGGCAGGGGGACAAGGGTTCCCCCAAACTTTCTGCCTCTTGAATCTTGTCTCCAGCTGTTACTGAGATGGAAACATGAAAGGCGGAGTCGAGGAGCTGGTGGCCCGACTCTTGGAACAGACCTCATGTGAGTGTTCTCTCCACACACCAGCCCCCCACCCCCTGCTTCCTTACATCTCCCTCCACTTCCAGATGCTGCGGGGACAAGACACAGCAGCCTCTCTCTCCTCTCAGCTGGGTTTGCACACTACTCTTCAGCTACAGGAGCCGCTCAGCCTGCCGTGGGAGGGGCAGCCTGTTGCCCCAAGGACGCAGGGGCCTTCAGCACCCTCACCTCCCACTGAGGGCTGAGGTCAAATGTGGGAGGGGTGGCAGGAGGATGCGAACCCAACCCAGGTCCCTCCTCCTTTCTTCCCTCTCCCCATTCCGCCACCCCACTTAGGCAGAAGCGCTTCTTGAGTGTTTAAGGGGTCTTCTCAGAGCCTCCACAGGTCCCCCGCCTGACGGCTAGCGCCACCCTCACAACTCCCTCAGTGAGCAAGTCCAGCAGCCCCTTAGCACTCCCAACACATGGGGGTTCATCCTGGGGAGGACGGTGTGAAGAGCACGGGAGGAAAGCAGAGCCAAGCAGGATACTTGAGCATGCCGGACTCCAGCCTCCTGCACAGTTCCCCCCCACAACATCCGCACCCCACCCAGTCTGTGAGGCATTGTAGAGGGCGGGTCCCACCTGTGCTCAGCAGCAGGAGAAGCAGGTAGAGAGGTCCCATGACTCCCTTGCTCGGCCAGCCGGAGAGGATGGACGGACGAGGGGAGGTCCCTGGTGCAAGATCTCTTCTTTCCCTTGAAGTGCAGAAAACAGAGGACCAAGCCAGTCAGGCGCAGCCCACAGGAACTGTGCTCCTGGATTGAGCAACAGTCAGGACTAGGGCAGGCGCTGTGATTCAAGGAGGGAGGGGGGAAAGGAGGTCTCCGCAGTGCCGCCTCCTGCGAAGCTGGCCAGAGTGGCCCTGAGTGGCGGTCACCAGACAGGCTTTCGGATGCTCCCATCTCCTTGCAGAACCTCATCTGGAGGTTACTATCCTCACCCTGTAGCCAGGGTCCCACCTCTCCTAGAGGACAGCTGCTTCTGAGGATGTTGACATGTCACCAGCTCCTGATCACAACCCTATTGGGTAAGGCAGCAGCTTAGGGGACCAGAGCCAGACTTCCTGCTGGCTGTGTGTATGCTCAGGCCTGCAACCTCTCTGTGCCTCATTTTGTGCACCCGTAAGATGGGACAATTCGTGATAAGCAAGTTTATCAGGGGCTAAAGGGGTTTCTTACGATCAGGGGTTCAGATACACAGAAGCCCTCAGCAAGGGTTAACTGTGTCTATTTCCCCAATCGGCAGGGGGCGGGGCTTGGCATGGGCTTTTGAAATCTCTAGCCCACCCCAAGTGGCACACTTCTCCAACCAGGTCACACCTCCTAATCCTTCTAATCCTTTCAAATAGTGCCACTCCGTGGTGACTAAGCATCAAATATATGAGCTTATGGGACATCCTTACTCCAACCACCACACTCATAAGCTCACATGTTTGAATATGTAGTCTCCAGTGGGTGGGATTCTTTGGGAAGGGTGTGCATCAAGGTGGCTGTGAGTCAGGGATGGAGCTGGGGGACCTGGACACACGCCAGAGCAGGGGCATGCCAGGGGTCCTGAGGGAAGACCTGGACACATGCCAGAGCCGGGGCATGCCAGGGGTCCTGAGGGAAGACCTGGGAGCCTGAGGTGCATTACCCGACTCCGATTCTGGCATAGTTCCCTCTCCATTCTCATGACTGTAGCTGCTCATTCCTCTTGAGACTGGCCATGTGACCGGGAGTACACTGGAAGTGGGAACTCGTGGGTAGTAAAAGACTGTATCCCACAACGGGACACACAGCCCAGCGTGGGTCTAATGCTTGGAGTGGCCCTGAATCAGGATCGTGTGTGTGTGTGTGTGTGTGTGTGTGTGTGTGTGTGTGTGTAGGCCGAAGGCGTCTTTCCCCAGGAATTATCCATCTTATCTTTTGAGACAGGGTCTCTCACTTGGCATGGAATTCATCATTTGGGCTACGTTGTCTGGTCAGTGAGCCCCAGGGATTCACCTGTCCCCACCTGCCCAGAGCTGGGATTATAAATGTACACCATCATGCCTGGGCCTTTCCCCCTCACGCCTTGGCTGCATCTAATCTTAATGACTAAAGAGTTATGTTACATGCTTCTATATATGACAACATGTTTAGTGGCTCACCCATTCTGACCTAGGAGTGCAGAATATACTTTTAGCATATTAGCCCTTTCAAATGCAGTTATTTCTTGAGTTTTGCAATCAAGACCTATCCACCCCTTGTTGCACATTTTGAGTTCGGTGTGTCCCTCACCAAGTGTCTTCTTATGAAACAATGAGAAAGGCGTGCTGGGCTGTACACCTGGCTCTCTGTGTGGGCTCTGGAGACCATGAGAACAGAGCCACCTCCCAGCCCCCGCAATGCCATATGCATAGTTCTGAGAAAACAGGGATACAAACTAGCCAGCACAACATCTCTGTGCCTATTTTAGTCTCTAGTTCTCTCTTGTCTTTTTCCCCTTCCCTTGTGTTTTATCTGTTAAGGAAACCAGCTGGTTCAGCCTGCAGAGTTCCCCACAGTGCAGCGCTGACTCACACGCCCCCGGTGTTGCTCTCACGCCCTGCTCCCCGCCCCCTCCCCCGCCCCCACACTTCTTAAGTTGACCTAACTGTGGAGGCTTCACAGATCTGGCTTGTGGACACTTCACAGGTCGGGGTGGGATCCCGAGGCCTTCTTCTCTGTGACGCAGCAGTGCTCAAGTCATTTGAGGCTGTGGAAACAAATGCTCGTCACCTCTGGGAGACACGACCTGCTCAGAAAAGCAGACGGTGGGGGCAGGTGAGGTGGGTCAGTGGTTAAAGCAGTGGCTGTGTGAGCTCGAGGTCCTGAGTTCAAACCTTGGGATCCACACAGGGGAGGAAAGAGGCCTCACACACATGCCCACACATCACACGTTGGAGTGACAGGAAAAGGTAGGAGAGCACGCTGGTACATACCCACAATCCCACCCTGGGGAGGCTGAGACATAGAGAGGCCCCGTCCCCAAATAAAAGACGGGTGTGCTTCATTCTCTCATTTATAAACTGCTGCTGTTGTTGCTTGTGCTTGATTTTTTTCTTTTGCAAAAGTGTACTGTTTTATTGGAACCCTAGTTGTCATTAATATCATTTAATTTTTCACGTAGGTGTAAGTGAACAGTTTGAATAGATTTGATACATTTCAGTTCATTGCTACAGACCAGGCTGGCCTCAAACTCATGGAATCCTCCTGCCTCTCTCAGTGCTGGCATTAAAGGTGTGAGCCTCCGCTCCAGCATGGTAGCTGTTGTTTTTGTTGCCATGGGAATCACTCAGTCTTTGGCCCTGGTTAGTTCCCGAGTCCTTGTGGCTGATGGAAGGCCACCAGTTTCCCTGCCTTCTAGCATGACAAGACGTCTTAGGCCTGGCTTGTTCACTTCCGGCAAGACTTGGGTCAGTCCCTTTTGGGGAATGCTGTTTCCATGTTTAGTGAGAGTCCTCTTTCAATTCCAGGGCAGTGTCTTGTGTCCTGTGGCTGTGATAAAACACACAGATGAAAGTAGCAAAAAGGAGAGAAGTGTTATTTGGTCACAGCCCCAGATTAGAGCGCGCCATGGCGGGTCACCACGGCTGCATGGACTTGAGGTTACATCACACACTGGTCAGGGAGCAAAGACAGACACACGCACATCTTCCGGTGAGCAGCTCCTTCCCTGTTTTTGTTTCCAGTCCAGGACTCCAAGCCCTGGGAATGGTTTGGTCCACAATTAAATGTAATTAAGATCCCCCACAACTGGACTCCAAGGCTCCCAAGCAATTCTAGATCCCATCAAGTGGACAGTTAACACTATCACTTGTCACAGCAGAGGCCTGCAATCCGAGATTGCAAATTCAAGGCCAGCCTGGGATATATATGGAGGAACTGTCCCAAAAGAAGAAGAAAAAGAATTAGTATTTCAAGACCACTGAAGTGTATGCAGTGTCAACTTGATATAGCCATGAATTACCTGAGAAGACGGTGTGTGTGAGGGGGTGTTTCTAGATCAGGCTGGTTTGTGGGCATGCCTATGGAGGAGGACTGACTGACTGTCTTCACCGTGTTAACTAATGTAGTAAGATCCAGCCCACCGTGGGTGGCACCATTCCCTAGACAGGGGGCCCTGGACTACATGCGTAAAGAGAGGGCGCTGAACACAAGAAGCATGACCTTATTCTCTGTCTACCTTTGAGCTTGGGTGTGACTCGCTGCTTCAAGTCCCTGCCTTGACTTCCCCGCAATGGTGTGCTGTAACCTGGAGTTGTCAGCGGAACAAACCCTTTCTCTTCTAGACCTGCTTTTGTCCGGGTCACAGAAATGGAACTCCGACCACCACAACATGGACGCTGTGGGGACTCACTGCTGGTGGGTTAGTCACCGACTCTAGGCTTTTCTAGTGGGTGGAAGTAAGAACTCTTTTCGATTTTTTTTCAGGATGGAGGTCTTATGCAGCCTCAGATTTGCTTTATAGCCAAGGGTAGCTGTGATCTCCTGATCCTCCTGCCCCCATATCCCCAGTACTGAGACTGCAGGATGATACCCTGCTGCTGCCTAATTGTTTGTACGGATACTTTCAATAGAAAACCAGGAGGAGGGCCATCCGTGAGGTGCAGCAAGCAAAGGCTCTTGCTGCCCAAGCCTGAGGGCTTGAGTTCGATCCCCAGAAGCCCCGTAAAGCGGACAGAGAGAATTGATGCCATGAAGTTGTTATCTGATCTCACTCTTCAAGAATATGTCAAGTGTGGCCCCCATGGTAATAGATACTCATAAAAAGGAAACGCAGAACTAAGAGGAGTTGCCTACGCCCTTTATCCTGCTCCTTTGTCTCCGACCCCTCACAGAGAGCCCCATCCCCAGACAGTAGCTTCAGAGGCTCAGCAACTCATTCGCTTTATCCCACATCATGGCACAAAAGTCACAGAATAGTGACACCAGGGCTCTTGCCAACAGTACGCTCTCTGAAGCTGTTATCACTTTAAGTGGGTTTTTAAAAATTCTTTTATTACACTTTGAGAATACAGGAAAATTACTATGCAAAGTTGGTCCTCAGCCAAGTTCATGTGTTTCCTTGCCCGTCGTCTGCCTGCCTCCTCTTTCCTATTTCTTTTTCCTTCCTTTCCTCATTCGTGTCCCTGTATAGTCTCTCTCTTTCCCTCCCCCCTCTCTCTTTCCCTCCCCCCTCTCTCTCTGTGTCTGTCTCTTTCTGTGTGTGCGTGCACATGTCTGTCTCTGTCTTTCTTATGAGGAGCTTTTGTGACACTATGATATAATAAAATGTATATTTATCTCTATATCAGGTTCCCGAGTCAGAATCCCTAATATCCCTTTGGAAGGGGGTTCCCAGGAAAGTACTTTGGTCATCATTTGGGATTTTCACTCTGGATTACTGCCTCTGATCTCCTACAATATTTGTAGTATTTGAATGGGGAACAGCTGACAAGAACTCTTAAACTTCCTAAGCCTCTTGTCTGGCTCTGAGGTAGCATCAAGATGGGAACTGGTTGCTAAGGGAACCAGCCAGGGGCTAAGAGGTATTTTCAGCTCTACTTCCAAGTTCCAGGATCGGGACAGGGGCTGAAGATCTAGTAGTCCCCACGGCCAGTGATGTCATTGATCGTGGTGATGATGAAGCCTTTGTGAAGAGACAGGGTTTAGAGAGAGATTCCCAACTGCTGGACGTGTGGAGGTGCCTGGAGGTGGCGTACCGGGAAGGTGGCGAACCGGGAAGGTGCGGATGCTCTTCCACAGAGCTCTGCCGCCTAA